TATTTCACCTAAGCAACTGTGGTGGCAGCTTTGTTATAGTATAGTTCTTATAAAATTTATACAAATCATACAGCTACTTTCCTGCAGAGCAGAAGGGCCTGTAAAACTGGCAAAACAGCACTGTGAGTAAGCAGAAAAACTGATTTCCATATAGGAAATTTAAGAGTTGATTCTACAAGATTTCAAGTGTTTTCTCCTCCTATGCACATGAGGAGCATTATTTTTCCTCCACTACAGGGAAGTGTCCTTTGAAATGGACTCACCATCCCTGAAATGCAAAATTCAGGACATTTCCTCAAGGTTTCTTGCCTGCCTCCCCTCCCTCCCCCCCTTTTTTTTTTTCCTGTTGTGCTCTATTTCGGGTCATTTAGACCACACGCTTTGATGGAGGGCATCCTTCTTCTCTGAATTTATGAATCAAAATGCATTCTCCAATGGATACCTGGAGGTATAATTTGCCTCCTAACAGTCTTCAATCTTTATTGCTGACACATTCAAGGATGCCTAACTCCCATAAGGAAAAAAAAACACATTAATCTTCAAAAATACATCCTTACCTGCCTTCTGAAAATGAAAATAGATGTTCTTTGAGAAATTATCTGAGTTTCGCTGCAAACCCTGAGGATCATGCACTTTTGGAAACAATTCTGAATCTGAAAAATTTATAAATAAAAATACGCTGGGAGATTCAGGCCATACAAATCCTGCATGGTGCTAAGTACTTCCTTGGAGGCATGGAGCTCTCAGCTTCCCTCAGCAGATGTCAACAGAAATCAAAAGCACTCAGCAGCTTGCTGGATGTAATCTGTGGGATTCCTACATACACTTTTCTGCATACTGGAGAGAATTACTTATTTGCTTAATGCTTTTGTAGGTGATCCTATACTATGGAAATATCTCCAAAGCACACATTGTCACCCATACGTGCTAAATCAAACACCCATTAAATTACTACCAAAGTTAAAAAAAATAAAATAGCTAGGTTGATGATCTGAAAGCAGACTGGCAACTCGAAGAAAAGACCTAAGATGACCTTTCTGTTTCTAGATAGCGCAAGAAAGAAAACAACCCTAAAGAGAGAGTGATGCCTTTCACATTACATATTCCTTCTGCTGCCTTATGCACAGAAGAGCTTTAGAATAGCCTTTGAAGGGGAGGTCACTTAACACACCAGGGAACATTCCCATCTTCATGCTCTCAGTTTAGCAAGAGACCTAATAAATGCCAATCACAGAAAAAGAAATTTTGAAGGCTTGTAGGAATTTAACAAAATTGTCTTCATGTTGAGCCTTGTAGCCAAAAGAACAAGAACATGCACAGTTGAGGTTCACCAGAAACAAGTTAATTCTTTCCTTTTTCCTTTCTTTTAAATTTTGTTTTATCTTAACATTGTCTACTCAGAATATACTTTTAATTCTAATGTATTATGAGAAATGAATGTTTGATTTCCATCTCCTTAAAATTATTAACCTTGATGTTTACCTATGCATGCTTAGATTCTCCCACCTATATTCAATTGCATATAAAAACTGAGCTCTCTAAATGCCCAAACTTTATTTTACTTTAGGATAGACACCTGTATTTTGATTCTTTGCATTGAAACAAGAATTTCTGAGGCTATGCCATAGCAACTTTTCTGAAAATGCTGAAGCATGGAAAAATAATACGGACTACACAGTATGTGCAAAAACTGCCAGATGCTTTGCATCTCCACATCTCAGTATCTCCCACTAGGCAATATCCCCAGTCTTCTGTTCCCTCTGATGCACAAACATGAAACAAATCATATTTTAAAAAAATTAAAAACAAGACCAAAACCAAAACAAAACCCCGAACAATTTATATATTCTTATTTTGTCTTAAATGAAATGGAAAGTTTCCCAAAAGCATCGAGGTCCAAGCAGTGGTAAAACTTACTAAAAAAGATGGAAAATATGAGTTATTTTAATCAGTGTTTTAATATACTTTTAAAAAGTTCATATCAACCTCTGTTGTATATACATGTTATATGAATGGGAAATAGTTTTCTCCCTTCTCCATGTCCATCCTAGAGAAATTCTTACTTCAATTCAGCTTCCTAATTGGTGTCCAGGGCTAATACAGTTTTAAACAATATATGTACAAGGAACAACTAAGAATAATCCACTTTTGACTGGTACTCATTTTTAAGATTCAAATGGAAAATACATAGAGCTAGCAAAAGACAGAAAAATCACAGGCAAATGACCCAATTTAAACTTTAAGTAAAATCTAGGAGAAGCTGCTAGTTTGCATTGGCAGTCATGAATAATCAGATTCACCAGGACCAATTTTTGCAGTTTCTGAAGCTATGGAGTTTCCCAGCAGAAATGCACCTCCCCACCCGCTTATAAATACTGTGTGTACCTTCATGAGCTACACCCAGTTACCTGCAAATACTGTTGACTCAAGTCCCAGTCATCAAAAAGGATCAGCTGAGTTGTTCAACATCCATTCTCTTTTCCAAGCAATGGAAAACATCAACGAAAAACCTTGCTGTTCCCTATGCGTGTCTACTGCAATACGTTCTCCACCAAGATGCCACCAAAAGAAGGCTAAGAACTGAGGAGGTAAAATCATTCCCCTCTCCTGTTTACAAATGCTGTTTCATATGGTCTTGGTCCAACCATCGTTCAATTACTCTGTCTATATTTTTTTTTGTCCTCTGATGTTACACACCGACTAGCAAGGCTTTCAGAGGAAAGACTGTTTCTTTGTCCCATGTTTTTACAATGCACTTCATAGATAATTGCGATAAATAGCCAAAACCTTTAAGATCTACAAAGGTTCACCAGAGAAAATATAACACCAAGGCACTAGCATCTGCTGATATCCTACAGAGGACTGGCAAATAGCTGTCCCTTCTGGCCACCAACTTTCCAGCATCCTGAAAGTCACTTCTCCAAGCCTGGTGATATGCAGATACCTTATTCCCTAAGCAGTAGCTAGACAGACATTTCCTCCTCCATATGTTACTCCTGTCTCTCTCCATCTGAGGCAAAAAATTCTTTTACAATAATTCAATTTCAGGAGCTACATAGAAATACATAAAAGTTATTTATATAGTATAAAGATTATGTTGGTACCCAGAATTGTTCCAAATAGGATCACTAGGCCGCTTGTCCCTAAAAGCTGCTATTACGGTTAAAAAGAGAAGCTATACATCTTGGACTGTGAATGGCTAACGCCACAGATCTAAACAAAGAGGCATGACTACCAGTTTCTACACAAGACAAACATAAACAGGAAGGGGGAGAAGAGGCTGAACCCACAAAGATGACACAGAGTACACCACAGAGCATCACGTGAAGAAATGGAAAAAAAACCACAAACTTTTTCCCAAGCCTTTTACCTGACAAGACAGTATTAGACTGGACTTCAACTGCAGATAATCCTTGGCTTTAGTGTTAAAATTTTACACAGCTCTACGTTTTGGCTCATAAAACATACAGCATTTGCAGCAACAACAAAATTACTTTGCAGTTTCAACAAGACTGCAGCTTGCCATGTCACCTTCAAAGTAAAGGTATTGAATTGACTATTATTAAAAATCACGAGGAATTCAGATCTTGCTTTCAGGATATACTACCCAGCTGTAATACCCGTTCGATTGAGGCCAGACTTCTTGTATGCTGACAGCATCATTATTTCATGAATCACCAGTGACCTTTGGAAGGTACTAGGAAAAGCAGGCATGTTCATTCCCTTCCATTGATTTTCTAATTTTGAGTAAATTGGTTTAATCTGGGGAATAGTTATCTATTAGGAATAAAAATACCTAAACTGACTTTAGAAAACAGTATAAAGCTTTTGAACTGAAACAATGAATTTAGAAAGGATACGAGGCAAAAATGTAGTGATTACATAAATCTTAACTTGGGCGTGATTCTTTGGCCTGCCACACAAGTGTGAAAGAATTGGAATCTCTCTAAACTTAAAAGACAGATCTACAGGCCCAGACCATAGTTTTACTGCACTATGTGTCTGGAATATGTGTCTGGTTTACCTCAAACCAGGACACCGTTAAATACCTGCTGTTGGAAAAGCCTGCAGGAAAACTACTCACCTACAATGGGAAGTGGAATAGGCATCACTTTCATCTGGTTAAAATGAGAAATAACATGCTGAATATGAGAAGATTGGACAGTCCAGAATCTAACCAACTTAGAGGACAAGTTCAGTAGATCAGCACATACCTGAAAAAGCCTGCAAGAAAATAACTTGGTGGTCTCCAGGAACCTAAGAGCACACAGGGCTACATAATTGAATGAAATGGTGATTTACAGCATAACTGTTTAGGTCATCGTTGTAATGGTGCCCAGATCTCAACATATTCTGAAAACTAAACCTTGTCTTAGCAGATTGGCTCTACTTCATTATCTTCTGAACATGAAATGATCATACCTAAGCTTGCTTTGCTAACAATTTATCTTCTCATAATGTTAATGACCTATAATAGACATAAATTTTGGCACGATGGTAACGCTCCTTAAAACCATGTAGAGACTACCTGTCCTTTTACTATTCCTTTTTTTATTTTCATTTTCTGCCTATGGCGTACTAAGTTAATTAGTCCATTAAGTCCACTCAAGAAAAAGAAAATTCTAGAAAAGGATTTAAAGCACGAAACTGTAACAATCTCAGAGCAAGCTACGTAAGCAATTAGGTTTGGGGTTTTTTACTTCCAAACTGTCAGTTCATAACTCTAAGTTGAATTCCACTTATTCCTGAGATCATTGCTCTCATCATCCAACACTAAATGCCTTGCCCAGAAATTATGAACTACTAGATTTATAAATATTGATCAGAGCATATAAGTTCTTATGCCCAAATAAGAAATAAACAAAACTCTTAAAAGACTCCTTAAAGTTAAGCTTCGGAATCCCCACAACCACAATACTCTGAACCTCTTTTCACATCACAGAAGAAGATAGGCGCAAACATTAAAATGTCAGACTGGCAATAGGAAAATGTTCGCTTACCTCACGATCCAACAGTACAGGTGACACAACTGTAACAATATCTCCCTTTTCTGGGTCAATATAGAACATATTTGGAGATGGTTTGGTAGGTGTCTGTTTGAGGATATTATACCGCAGGAGAGCATTGTCTGTGCTAGAGTCATCAGCATCAAATGCTGTCATACGCATCACCGTCGTTCCTAAGGGAAAGGTGGACAGACAACAGAATGCAGTTAGCAAGAACATGTAAAATTATGCTGCCTTCACATGTGAGAACCAGGTGGGTACAATACATAACTACCTCGTCACGACCACTAAGTAGTTTCACCTGAAATTTAGTCTGTACTTGCATTTGTATTATTTTTACTTGCTAACGAGCCAACAACAAAAGACTAGTGTTTCTGGTTTGCAGCAGACATATGACTGTAACAAAAGTTCCCATATTTGAATGCTTTGTTGCCATCCATATTAATTGCATTTCACTAAATGAACTACAGATATTTTATTTTCACTTTAAATTCTACAAGTAGTCTACAGGATATTTATGATGAAGATGACAATGCTGAAATAAGAGAAAGATCTCTGTTTTCACTTTAAAGTCTTGCACAGTTTCAGAATTGGTTGGACATTATAATTTCTGTCAATAAGAAATTTTGTAATGATTAAAGCCTACATTATTCTAATTTCAATTTGTACAAATTTATGGGCTTATTGTACCAGCATCAATAAAATGACCCCACACCTCTATTGCCTTCAAGTGATGAAGGGTTTTTTAATATGAAAATCCTACGGCATACTGTTCTGCTATAGAGTGCAGTAAGGTAAACGCCCTTGACTGCACAGATTACTAAATGATGTACAGAGGAGAAATCTCACTCTTCTAAATCACAGTTAATACAGGGAGGACTGAGATGCTGCCAATTCTCTACTTAGCTAGTGGAACACATACTCCTGCATCACCGGATCAAGTCTTCTCACTGTTAGACAAAAACACCAGAAGCTGACATAGACTACAAAATTCTCTCATAGCATTCTTTTACTTGCTTTGTACAGTACATGGAGAACCAAAGAAAGGAAGTAATAAGACACCTGGGCTGAACGGTGAGATATTCACCCCTACACCATTATGATTTCTTAATCAGTTCATTTATAGGTATAAATGTAAGCATTTTTTTTTTTTAAATCTAACTAAAAGCAATATATCATCACACCAAAACTAAAGTGGTTTTGGTAATACTGACCTGAAGAAAGAATAAAATCCTACCAAATAACAAAAAAGTCATCATCAAATCAACAAACTTTTTTCAATGGTGGATCAAAGTTAACTAACAGATTAATGCAAAAGGCATTAGCAAACTTTATACCAATAAGGAATCTAGGAAGGTATCCATTCTTTTGCCTAAAAATCCCAACTAAAACAATTTATCAAAATCCATCAACTATATGATTTGCATTTAAGTAGCTTAGCACTGAAACAATATTATCTAATGTGTGAACCACAATGTTGAACTTAGTTCTAACTCTTTGTTAGAGATTAATTCTTACATGGTGGCTAACCCTTTCTTTTCCTCCATAGACTTTCAGTGGGCAAGTATTATTGCAAATATGATGACGAAAAACATTTCAAATACAACATTTTCATTTCTTAACAGGTCTGTAAGACTATATGATCTATGCTCAGTATCCACCTAGCCTTTTGTGGCAAAATAATCACAAGTGCTTAAAACCTTCTGGTACAGACAAGGCCTAAGACATTACATTGGAAGTTTCTGCAGAACAGAAATATGTATTGTTCATGTACAATGATAAACAGTGCATTTATATTCTTTGTGAAGGTCTTGAAGCACAGATCACTTAAAACTCAAATAAAAATGAAATATTGTGGTAAAAGTGAAAACAAACCAGCTTCACTTGCAGCCTGAAATAACAACTGCCTGGTTCACTGTTAAGCAAACACAACTGCCTTGTTTAGATATGTTTCTTCTTTTTTTCTTTTGCTGTACTTCCCAGAGTACAAAGTATTGCCTCTTGTTGTAGTGACCTTGAATATAAGCTCTCAAAGGTTTTGCTTCATTGCTACTTCAGGCAGAGTTACCCTCTTGAGAAAAATAACAGACATCTGACAGCACGTTGGTTTTATTCACCGGTGATTAAAGGTCAGACAGCTCAAAAAGAAGCTTACGACTGGATACCATGCCATGTTTTCCAATATTACAAGATGATCCTAGCCCTGATGTTTTCACCTACTTTGTTTCAGAGTTTTTCAGAAGAAAAAAGAAAAAAAGAGCAGGTTTCTGTTTTGAAGAATGAAGATTCCCCCGCTTTTCACAAGTACAACACACTGTGCTATTTTTTTTAGATATTTATCGCATTTTGAGAAGATTATTTATATCCATATTAGATGGTGTGTTTCGTGAAAATCTTCTAAGTCACAAGACTTCAGTGAAATAAATAAGAATTAAGGCAATTCTTCAAGGGATCTTAAAGGGTGTCCGAGTACAAGTGAAATTCACAGAATCACAGTATGGTCAGGGTTGGAAGGGACCTCTGGAGATCATCCTGTCCAACCTCCCCGCCAGAGCAGGGTCACCTACAGCAGTTGCACAGGACAGCGTCCAGGCGGGTTTGGAATGTCTCCAGAGTGGGAGACTCCACAACCTCTCTTGGCAGCCTGTTCCAATTCAATGGGTTTTGGTATGCAACTCCTGAAAAATGTAATTTAATAATATGCTGTAACTCAAGTACATTAGCCTATATTATAAATGAATATATCCCCAAATCTCTAGTTACTCTAGCTTAATACAATGGCTGAATCTGATTCTGGTTTGCCAGCTGCAGTTCTTTAACCTTTCAACTCACTGGACATTGTCTTGTTCTGTGCAATCATACCTCTGGTGCATACAGATAAGAAATTTCAGCAACTCAGAAGACCAGAATTTTACACTCATTTTGCATAGAAATGCCAGCTCCAGGAGGAAAGCTGTAGAGAATTAGATCCATTTGTTTTTCTGTTGCTTCTGTCAAAAGTTTTGAGACATTGGTTTCTAGCTACCAAAGTGGCATATAGATTTAAGTAGAAGTTATTCTATTCTCACAAGTTCATACAACAGATATAAAAATGCACATAAAATTTGGTGTTCTCTTTAGATGTCATTATGCATTAGCACAGTCTATACAAGGTTGTACCTGTTTTCTTTTCATGAACATCAACACAGAAAACTACACCTCTTTAAACATCAGCTATATGCTTGCATTGGTACAACAACCAGAGGAGCTGCTAAATACTGTGGCTGAAAACACAAAGGAAGCCCTTGCACTGAGTTGAAAGTTGTTGGTAGGCTTCTGCAGCCATGCTGAGAATGGCTTGTCCTCAGAAACCTATCCTTTATGCTCTTGTGCTCACAAGTAGGTGTGCAAATGAATCAGAGGTCAATGCTGTCCATTCATTTTAAAGCACAGTGGTACCTACTCTATATACTATTCTATTAGAATGAAACAAACAAAAAAACCCCACATATACAAAAAGCTAGAATGGGCTAGTATTTGTGGCTGATGCCTCAAAAATCACAACAGCTTTAAACCAGCAGCTAAAATATATTCCAGGGACCTTTTGGAGAAATCCGATAGCTACATTTCCAGGGAAGAGCTTTTCTATCCTAGTTGAGGTGATCAAGGAGAGAACACGCATGACCATACATTTGGGATTGGACCACCACAAAAGATGAAGTTTTTAGAAATCTTTTTCCTAAAAATACAGTGACACAAATTTTTATTGTAGAAGGCTCTACAGCATACATCCGGTCCAAAAGAGTTTAGTTCAAGATGCACACTTCCTCAGTATTACTCCTTCATCATAAAGTTTTATTCTTCATAAAAGATTCATTTCCCCAGACCCATAAACTGACTACTTCTAATTCAGTGTCATTTTATAAATACTTCCATTTCTGGCATCAATCAAATGCAGCTGGCTTTCAAGCCACAAAACAACAGCTTGCTACATTATCATGTTAAACAATATATATTAACTTATCAAGCTGAGAAAGAAACGTCTGTAAAATCAGCAACTTTATAGTTCTGCCGATGATGTTGCAGATACTCACTGAGGCAGTCTCTCTCAGTAAAGGTACAGTTATGCCTTGGTATATTTCAATATTCATGCTTTATTTGTCACACCTTCTGGGCAGTTTCACTATTACCATAATCTCTCAAAACCTCAACTTGCACCTCCCAGAGTTCCTCATTGATCAAATATATATCCCACTAGCCAAGTCATTGCTCCAGAGGCTGCAGCTATCAATCTGTTGATTGCTCGTTTGGCCTGTAACTTGGCTTGGAAATATTGGCAAAAAACTCCCCTTAGGCATTAAGAAGTAAAACACAATGCTTGCACAATTTTGTGGTGATTGGAGCAGATGGTTCTTGGGAAAGGCTCTTTGGCATTTTTTTATTTACCTCTTAATAACCTGTTTCCTTCTTTCTTTCTTTTTTTTTTTTTTGGTGCCTTTTTTTTCTGTCAAGATGCCAAGAGAACATCAGCAACAGTTCAGCGGATGGATGAGATTACTACTACTTCCCTATGCCTTTTATTTATTTATTTATTCAGCTGCTGGGTTTACAAAAAGGACTGGAATGTAGTAGAAGTGCAGCCTATTTCTAGCTTGAATAAATGTGATTAAGTGTCGTAAGCCTACAGCCTTAAAAGAAGACTCTAAATTTGAATACTAACATTAAAATATTATCCAGTGTAAGGACTCAACAATTTTAAGTTTGAGAGCTACAGTGCTCAAAAACTTCACACTGGAGTTTTCTCATGTTATTTTCACTCTTTTTGTGAGTCTCCGCTGTATGTTCAGGATGTTAAATGTTTTCTACATGTGCTAGAGAAAGGGAAGGGTCTACTTGCCTAATTAACGTGACTGGATTGCTGAGTTTTATTTCCACCTTTTTCACAAGTTCAGTTGTACCTCTGTACACTGATAATAATCAGTTGCACAATGGTATACTTTAAAAAAGTAGCACTATTTTAACCCAAGAAGGAGAACAAAGAATGAAAATATGACGAAAAAGGAAGAAATCAAGAGGTTTACCCACATATCTACAGCACATGACATCTATTGTGACAGAAAAAAAAAAGACACCAACTTTCAGAAAATGGAGCAAAGGAGGATACCATTCTGACTACTATACTTATCATAAATAA